TCCTTGAGGGATCAAATCTTTACCATTATGCTCCATTCTGGTATTTATCTGTCATTACAGTGACATAGTCTCATTAGTGACGTAAAATTCCAAAATCATTAGTTTTTAACTTGAAAATCTGCTCAATGAGAACAATGATACTTTCAATAATAATTGTAATACTTTCAAATGTAATTTCGGAGTTTAAATTTCTATCATTCATGCCAATTTCCTAAGGTATTTGACATACATGTATTTAAAGCTATATCTCAACAAATCACTCTTTCTAGACTTCATTAAAATACTTTGCTATATATATTATCATCAATCATTTCACTCAGATTTTTTTGTATTAATCTAAATTCAAACGCATATGTTTATCGTCTTGAACAATACAAATGTGCAAATGAAAATGATTTTGAAATCAAACAACACATTACTAGAATATTCTAGGATTGATATAATGTACGATGAGAAGTCTATAAAAAAAAATTTATAAATGACAACTCCCATTAGTGACTTCTAATTCTAACACAAATGTATGTTATCATTAAGAGGTTATATTCAAGATTAGACATTCCAACTCTAACACACATGTATGTTACTATTATGAGGTTATACTCAAGGTTATGCACTTTCTTGTTGAGAGTGACACATTCCAATAGTGACGTAAAACCATAACACCAATGCATGTCGATATTGGGAGGTTTAACTCCGTATGTAACAACTTGTCATTGAAATATCTAAATCTTCTAGAAGTCTTTTAATCTCTAAATTGAGGTGACTACATGATATATGAGACATCAACATCTAACCAATGAAATTTTCATTATTATCAATTGAAACTAATCATGTAGTTGAAGTATACTTGGAATATAGACTTTGATAAAAAAATATATATATAATTGTGCTCACTTAAACTTTATAAAACTCCTTGAATCATTTTGCCAAGTATGAACACTATAGGTAAATCTCATGATAAATCAATAAATTTAGTTTTAATTAGCTAGATTTAGTTAAATCTAAGCTAATCATGATCAATTTCTTGACTTTTTCTAATACTATTTCACATATACAACAATTGGTCTCACAATACTAGATTGTTATCAAGCATCTCCATATCTGCAAAACCACAACTGCCTTTTTTCTTATTTCTATATTCGGTTCAATGATCTCTACTTACCTCTATACACTATCAAAACTGCAGTTATTCATCACTCACTTGCTAATTTCATGAAGGAGTGATCTACAATCAAAGAAATAGAAATGATACTCTAATATCATTGTAACACTATGATTTAGAGAGAAATTCACTCGAAGATGAAACATAAACTGTGAAGATGAGATACGTTGAATGTTTACTCTCTCTCTTAAATAGAATCCTCAAACACATACACAAAGATGAATTATTCTCACATCACTCAATTGTAAACATCTTTTGTTAGTTACAAATAAAGTAGAGATTACTCAAGATTGAGTAGAGTAGATGATAGTGCAATATTTACAGTGTCATGTCAACACTTAGAGTGCTAGTAAGTGTGTTAGTTGGAAACGACACGTCATCAATCCGTAAGCTTGTTAGGTGAATATTGAGTATGCTAGTTGATGTGTTAGTTAGGAGCAACACGTCAGCAATCCATGTGCTCATTAGTTATATCCGTCATGTTATCAAATCCACTAGGAGGGGATTGGATTGTGGGAAGAAGACATTATCTTTATGTTTGTGTTTGAATATCTATATAAGGGAGAGTAGAATTTTTCAAGATATTTCATCTTCAAAGTTTATGTTTGATTTTTGAATGAGCTTCTCTTTAAATTCAAATGTTATAACAGTTCCATTCTAGTAGATTAGTGACATGACAAATATACCTAATGAGCACACGGATGATTGACGCGTCGTTCCCAACTAACACATTGACTAACACACAAATTGCTGACATGATATTATAGATATTTCACTATCATATACTTTACTCAATCTTGAGTAATCTCTACTTTTGTTTAACAAACTAAAAATGATTACACACCAATTCTAATTGTGATGCAATTGATGATTATGTTGAGGTCCGTCGTTCTCTTAAAAAATGTACGATACTTATGTATTCAATCTTATTTTTTTGAAATTCAATGTACATGATGAAAGACATAATATTCCAACTTGATGTGTTTGCCGTTGAACACCCTCACACAATATTCATACATCGCACAATAGTGATTTCCATAGATCTTCTCGATTGAGGGCATAAACAATGTCATCTTAGGTTTATCACTTCATCTATTTTTTTCTTCACATTGAACAATGTCATTTTAGATTTATAAACTCGTTTGCTCAATTTCACACATTGAACGATAGTCATTTTTATTGAAATTTGTTGCCAAGCAATAGAAACAATGTTATCTTGGAATTTTCATCTTATCCGCTTTTTTCAATTCACGTGATATCTTCATATGATGTTTGGAGGCCGGCTGTGATATTGATGACATTGTTTTTGCATTTTTAGCTTTCACGTCGATGATGACATTGTTTTTGTTCTCGGTATTCATGTTGGAGACATGAAGAACACTAGTGGCTAAAAACTCTCAACTACCACAATCCACAATTTGATTTCTTATAGGATATTTTATTTGCTCTTACATCTGCACTAAGTCATGTTAAATCGAGCAATTCTACAGCTACAAACAGTAATTTCTTGACTATTTCTTTCTAACTTGTGAGATAAGTATCATACAAGCATTGATTTAGCGAGAAACGTTATGAAATAGTTGCAAATTGAAAGGTATGAGTTTTGACTTCTGAGTGTTGTAATGGATATTGATCCAATACCTTTGAGTTTGATTTGCTCATATGAACGAATACGAATGAAGCATGCGCATAGACATGCCTTAGTGACCTTACTCAAGTCTATGTTTTTGAGTCTTGTGCCTCCAACACTAGAGAGAAGTCTTCCAAACAAACTACAGATAAATAAACATATAATCATGAAGTAGTATAGATTGCTAGTTTGCTTGCAATTGCATCAAAAATCACGTTCACTTCGATTGGAAAATGTATTTGAGATAAAGATTGTTAAGAAATTTGCAATTTGAAATCTTTGACCATTTTTATAAAAAAAAAATTTATTCACAGAGCTTATGTTAGGGAATGTAATGGCTATATTTACTGCAAAATATAGCAAATTTGTGTAATCTAGTCCCAAATCTTCTCAATCATCATTGAACAAGGTAGTGTGCTCATGATTATCAATCTTAGTAAAATTATGTTTGATTCTCTTGATGTTCACAACCTAGATATACACAAAACAAACATTTCATTGATATAACATTGCTTGAAAATTGTTTGTAGTGATCCTTGGCACATACTTGAGAAGTTGTTTGAGATGAAATTGCTTCAAAATTGAGGTAATTTTAATGTACTTCTGAAAATGATGATATCTAATTCCTATTGACATATTTGAAATCTCAAAATATTGTACGGATAACTAGCAAGACTTAAAGTTATATTAAATAGAAGTTTTTCAAAATTCAAAATCTCATAAAAGTTAAATACGATTCTGGCATCTATTTCTAGAATGCCAAATTTTAGAAGTTTTGTTGTTAGATCATGATATCAAGTGATGAAACTAAAGATTTCTACTTTGCATACTTTGCATACGACAATGTAATTTAGTTTTTATAGATTTAAAATTTGATGTAGATTAAGATCTCAAATGTATGGTCAAGATTATAATATTATTTTAAAAAAATATTCTAACTAATCAAAGTAAGTAAATTAAAGATAACAATTATATTGCAACATTGATTTGAAATGATCAAGTTATAATTATGTTCTATATATATATATATATATATATATATATATATCTATGTTGTTGAAATTTTGAGATTTAATATGGAAGGTGATAAAATATTGAATACTTAAAATTTGCATTTATATTCCTCTCTACGTCATGCTTAAAAATTGATATACTTGTATTTAATTTAATATAATAATTTCAACTTTTCAAGATCTGTGAAAAAAAATTACTTTTTAAATTTTTACATTTAAAAGCATAATTCCTTGTCATGAACTGAATTAAAAATAAAAAATTTTGATAGTTAATTCTACATAAATTCAATTAATTTAAAAAAGGGATAATCCTTTGTACAAAAATGGGATCTTTTGATATGAGACAAAGATTTTCAATATTCAAATCAAATAAAGTTAAAGATTTCTACATTGTAGGAAGATCAGAATATCAAATTTTCACAATGTCTTTCAACAATGTATATAATACCAAATGTTGATTTACATTGCATCATTTTGTTCATGAATGCATTTAGATTTTCATGACTGACAAACAGAAATACGGAAAAAAAGGATAAAAAAATCATGAGATCTAATTTGAATTAGAAGTTACTTTATTTGTACTTTGGCCAAAGAAGAAGAATGAAATTATTTCTAAAAATTTAAAAGTAACTATTGCAGTAGTACAGAGGATGTAAATAGTATGTTCTAGTGTGTTGTGTACTCTAAAGTAAAAGTAGAGCCATAGAGATACAGTTCTAAGGTGTTGAGTAAAACGAATGAGGGAGTTCTGGATAAGGTACTCCATCCATTACCTACAATTACAATAGTTTGTATAAGAAGTGTCTGATCTCGATATTGAATTACAGTTTCTGGACAATCTCCCTGAAGGTGATAAATCTTCACCCCATGAAGCTTTCGAGGCAGAGAGCATCACCACCATTTTAAAGCTACTCGTCCCCGTTTGGCAACTCCTCAACTTGGAATTAAATAGCTTCACATGCTGTAATGATCATTACAAGCATACTCGTACAAGAAGAGAAAAATGTCGGTCCTCAAGACGGATGGAGAGAAACGAACCGTGAACTCTACCGTGAGATTTACCGCATCCCCAGAGGAGATGACCGTCCGAACTCAATGTCGGTGACGGACGGCGAACGGAGGACGGGAAAATGAAAGCGGGAACGATCCGCGTCGGGTCCCGGTTAGCTCTGCTCTAAAACCGGCCGAGGCCCGGTCAAACCGACGGGGTGTCGGAGGTGAACGGGGAGGCGGAGGCGGTGGTGGGGGTGGAGGGCGCGTCCTGGTAGAGGCGGCCGCTGCGGTTGTGGAACTGGAGGACGGGCTTGGAGAGGGGGATGGGGGGCATGGGGACGATGCCCTCGAGGATCATGATGACCTGGCGCATGGGCGGGCGCTCGTCGGGGTTGGGGTGCGAGCAGAGCAGGCCGACCAGGAGCAGGAGCTTGATGGCGGCCGGGTCGAACTTGCCGGCGAGGCGGCGGTCGACCACGCGCAGCAGGTCGCCGTTGCGCAGGCTGCTCCAGACGAGGTCGGCCAGCGTCTTCTCGCCCTCGGGGCGGCTCTGGTCCACGCTGGCCTGGCCGCAGGCGATCTCGAGCGCCACGGCGCCGAAGGCGTACACGTCAGCCTTGTCGGAGAACTTGCCGTAGACCACGACCTCGGGCGCCAGGTAGCCGAAGGTGCCGACCACGTTGGTGGAGGCCAGGCTCTCGCGCCGGTCCACCAGGCGCGCCAGCCCGAAGTCGCCCAGCAGCGCATTGAAGTCCTCGTCGAGCATGATGTTGCTGGATTTGATGTCGCGGTGCAGCACCTTCTGGCGCCAGCCCTCGTGCAGATGGTTCAGCGCCGTGGCCACATTCATGACGATGCGGAAGCGCACCTCCCACGACAGCACCGAGGCCTCGTCCGCCGGGCAGAACAGCGCCTTGTCCAAGCTCCCATTCGGCATGTACTCGTACACCAGCAAGAACTGCTCGTTGGCGCTGCACCAGCCCAGCAGCTTGACGATGTTCCGGTGGCGCAGCTGCGTGATAATCGACACCTCGGCCATGAATTCTCTCGCGCCCTGCCTCGACTCCGGGCTCACCTTTTTCACCGCCACCACCTCGCCCGTCGCCGGGATCACCGCCCGGTACACGCTTCCGAATCCGCCCTGCCCCAGCTTGTGCGCCTCGTCGAACTCCGCCGTCGCTCGCCGCAGCTCCACGAACGAGTAGCTGTTCTCGAGGCACCTGGCGATGGCGTCCAGGTCCGTCCGCGTCGACCCCGTCTGCATCGAGATCGACCTGCTCGCCTGCTGGTACTTGCTCCGCCCTAGCAGCACGATCACCACGGCGCACAGCACCAGCAGGAACACTGCCGCCGCCGACACTCCCGAGATGAAGGCCACCGGTTGATTCCTCGAGCCTCTGCGGAACTCCTCTTCGGTTCGCCACCCCGGCGACCACAAAGGCGCCACTTCGGCCGGCTGCTGCTGCGGTTTTGGGGAAGGCTCTAGAGGAGGCAGAGGAAAGCTTTCGAACGACCATCCGGACACCGTGACAGTGTCAGAGCAATTGCACTTCCCATTTGCGGCCGACAATCCGACATAGACATCGGGCTCATCCTGGCCCAGAACGAAGGTCAGATTCGCGCGGTACCGCAGCAGAGCGTCCGCAGGCTTCGCATCATTGGAGCTCAGTCTCACTTGCAGGTCTTGCGACGAGGAATTGTAATCGATCCACGTGAATACGATCGCACTGCTCTTGCTGATGTTCATGACTGGATCCAGAGGTGCCATCGGGAGGCTTGCCCTTCCGGTTTCCAGCTCCACTCGCACCCGAATGTTGTCGAACTCTTCGTTGCCGAGGTTTTCGCGTATATTATATTCGACTGCCACGGAAGGGACGACTGTCTGCGTCCCTAGATCCCGATACATCAGAATATTGCGCATCACGAATGATATTCCGTACCCGGCCCCGATCGAGGAACTCATTTGCCACCGGAATTGAAACCGACTGCTGAACGAGTTCCACTTCCTGGACGATGTATTGAACAGCGTGATGGGCTCGGCCCACACAGCTATGCCGGCATCGTAATGGTCCGTGGCATTCGTGAACGAAGGTTTCAGCCTCAGCTCTGCGCGTTGCGTATCTGCTTCCACTTGGCCTCCGCACCACACATTTCCTGACTGCCCGCATTGGAACGGCTGCCCTCCAGCCGACGTTCCAACCGTGAAATTGGCCCTGACAGGTATGGAAATCAGCTTGCACGTCATGATCACAATCGTCATCTCGACCAGCAAGACGTTTACATCTGATCTGGGGCGCGACATATTACAGTTTAGAATCACACGTTCCGCCCCAGGTCTACTTCGTCATGCTCTCGTTTAAAATTCGGAGCAGATTTCTCTCGAGGAGCTCGGCAGCCACCATGAATGAATTCCTCGTCAGTAAAACTCGTGGAAAGCAGTCGAGGGATGAGTGATCACAATCTAATCGAGCTGCTCTCATTGCTCCTCCTCGATACCCAAAGACCAAAAGTAAACGCCCTGGGCCGAACCGCGAAGCTGTGATCATTCCCGCAAGGTTGCCGGGTATCTTCAGAGGGGAATTCAAGAGCATGTCATTCGGACCGCACAGTGCAGACCATGGAGCATAAGTCACGACACCCGGGCGCACGGACCAAAGCTGGAGCGCGAGAGATGCAAATGGGGGAATTATGTAAACAGCAGGTGTTGGCTTTCACAGAGAAAGTCAATCGAGGAAAGCACACAGGCTTGATTTTTTCACGAGAACTACAATGAATTGGCCCACGGGTGGACTTCTTCACACGGCAATGAATCTCGGCTTAGTTGGTCCAAGACCATAATGGTCAATCGAGGTTGCCATTATGGTGAGATATTCCAGCAATCGATATTTTTTTAGTCTCAGTCCATTGTTGAGGTTGAATGCCATTCAACTTTTCCACAAAATCTGCCTCTGCTGGAGCGCAATAATCTCACTCCGTCTGCCAGTATTAATTACAACTTGTCAGACGTTTACTATCAATTCCTTGAGTTGCAAGGATTGTGACAATCGATCAGACCACACTCTAGCCACGAGACGCCACTAAAATGAGAGTACGTAATGTGTTAGACCGCGCACTCTTCACAGTCTCACCTTTTGTAGTAGCGTTAAAGATAATCTAGCGAGGTCCGGTCAATCTGTGAGATCCGACCAGAACTGTGGGCTTCGAGACGATAAGAGTAGCCTGAAATGCAGGAAGTTTATCGTAGTCAACCATCACTCAGATCTACAGTGTTCTCCTGTTTTCAGCTGTTGTTATCGAGACGTGGGATCAGCCGACATCGTAGTTCGAATACTCGTAAACTTATTCAAGACCATGTAACATTCAACTCGAGGTGCAATAAACACGCGACTTCGATCGAAAATCAGAGGCTAGAAAATTAGATTTAGCTGGTTCTGATCATCTGATCTGATAGACCCGTCTCTTTAGTCTTCCGGGTATTTCGCAATCTCGCCTTTCGATCGAAATTTTCCACACCTGCATAGCTTCAATTTGTAGTGTGGGCAGAAGGGTGTGCTCTTCCTATTGCACAAGAGGCTGCACGACTTTTAGGTGCACTCCACCTGGTTTCGAAGTATGTTAGGAGATTATCAGCCCTATACCTCAAACCATGGCCCTAGTAGATGACACTATTCTCGACAAGTACTTCTATGAACAGTGATGCACTTGTCACATTCCTAGAGGAGACCGGGAATAGAAGCATTTCCATTGCGTTACATATTATAAGACTTGTGGCCACCTTCCCCCACAGCGAGGTCTGTATACGTGTGAGATGATCGATCGGGGTTACTTTGGTTTTCCATGTGGCAGTGCATGTCCAGATAGATAGATGTTTGTTGATAATGTCAATGAGAACAGGTCGAGTGCATAATCACCGATTCCATCGTCCAGCTTCAGTACAACATCGTACTCACTGCCGCTTGAAGCAGCAGCGATTCCTATGTCATACATTTTAGCAATCTGATCAAGCGAGACTTGATCTAGATATATCACACACCCGGTCCACTACAGCGTTGAGATTAATTGAAGAATGACATCTCTAAGGTACTCCAAAAATTGGTATGCTTATTATTATTTTATGCATACAATATTTGCTTATATACAGTCTGGCTGACTTGAACGTATATGGTATGAATTCTGGCCGTTTTGTTTCATGTGTCAGTTCTGATACTACACTACTGATATTCATTCGTCCTTCATGTAAATATCTCGGATATCGCCGATACTGATGTCATGTGACAGGGACAAGAGGAACAAGTCTCTTCTCGCAGCGCCACTGAGTCTGAGAATTTGCCACAGTGCAAAGATCTAATTTTAGAATAAGCTCCAAACTCCTATAAAATGGAAACAGCTTCTTCCCCTTAATTTAGGCAGAAGCTTCTCCTCTGAGGCACCCTATCTGCTCTCAGACTGCAGAAACTCATACCATAACTCTATATGGGACTAACTATTGGTCTTACAATGTATTTATTCATGAATCTGATCCAATCCTGAATACTGCTTGAAAGCGAACTTGCACGACTATGAAGACTCTATGTTGCACGACTATCGTCAAGCAACATCGCTGCCCCCGCTGCTCCCGTTCCTGGCCCTATCACGACGGCAGTGGCCATGATATAGGACTGCTCCCCTTTCATCCATCATCCTCGTAAGACGAGCTTGATCAGGCTTTTCGAATTCTTGATGAAGATTTTCTCACTGGAGCCTTGTGCTTTTCCATGCTCTCAACCGCATAAGTTGTCCGTCGGTGGAGGCAACCGGGCACTCAAACACGGAGTCTGGTTCTTGCCAAGCGTAATAAGCGTTTGAGCAGCTTCCGCTTCATGTAGAAAGCGGGTGAAGACAAAGAATTTTCATATCAGAGTTCTAAATTTGGCTCCGAGGACGTCACGTGCAGGAAATTCTCCCTAAACAATCCATTACAATAAAAGAGTGAGCTCCTTTTTCTACTTACGTACGTGTACAGCAGCAACTCACCTTTTCTATGTCTTCTTTGTCTCCATCCGAGAAACGTATGCTGCATGACCCGTTATTTTCCAAAAAAGAATCGAACCAGTCTACTATTGCCAACCTCTAATGCTTGCCAGCGACCCCTATATTTGTCTGTGTAGGAGTTTCTTCCTCCTATACAGTCAAATTATTTAGATTTGATATCGACATGGAGTTGCCCTCCCTTTTTCCCTGTGCCTTTGGATGGATGTGTTTCCTCCCTTTAATATGGTTCGCTCTATGTGTTGCTGTTTTCAACTTCTCAGTTTCCTTCAGTTACGATACATGCAGAACACTCTTTCCCCTCATATTCCTACCGATCTTCTACAATGACGGTTTTGGATACAGGGTAAGAGATACATAAATATCTCTTATATTCTTGCCCGTTGATTACAAATTCTTCTGAAATGAAGGTACATTGGACAATCAGATCCAAAGGAGAAGCAATAAGACAATGAAAACTAAGGAACAGTGAGAATTAAAGTATATACATCTCTGAACTCAAAACATGTACAGCGATTGTGGACCCTCACTCACTCAGATTAAAAAAGGAGAAGCAAAACAGCAATGAGATTTTAATTATAAGTTATGTCTGAACTCAATGTATATACAGCATACGTGTAACATACTTGGGACATGTCTGCTGAGCAGAAGCAGGTAGCCAAACAATGTAGTCAACATAGGAATAACTGCAAGTCGTGGGCATAACTTTTCCTCCATTAGATCTCAATAATATTAAAAGTTCAAGCCATTACGTGCCACTCACATGACCCATAGTGAATCTCAAAATGCGACTAAAATCTCATTGCTTCCGTCTGGGCAGTCGGGACCAAGACCACATACTTCTGTATCTTGGGCAACCAAAAGCGCAGTCATAGCTGTAGCGTGCATTCATCCGCTCTTTGTGCCTTGTAAAGATCAAGGAAGTATTTTGTATCCACCCTCCAATTTTCCTCATGCTATGTATTCTATGTTCTTTAAAGCACAGTTAAGATCAATCGAGTTGTGTATCTGAACTGGCGTTCCGAATCCTCCAGGCTTCCTCCATCACCCTTCGATTTACAACGGTGAGGTGGATCTTAAAGACATCTACATGTGCTAGATTCTTCAAGTTTGCTGATCATGACCACAAACAATACACTAAACTACATCAGCACTAAAAATTGATTTCGTAAGGTAGGTGTTATATCAGTTATTCATCATCTATATGCAGCTAGTTTGATGACTTCCAAGTTTTTTTATTCTCATGGTTTTGAAGAAACACAGTAAACGGTGATGGATACGATCCTATCGATCGTATCCGTCTCGCCGCTTTCAAGATTGTACAAAATTGTAGAGCATTTTTTGGGATAATAAGCTCTGCTTTGCATAACTAAGAGTTCAAATAAGAGGCTGCCCGGTCAAGTACTCAGTGATCGCTAGCGCTACTACACCAATCATAGCAGCCCGGCCATTCCAGATCTCAGCATTTGCAGTGAAGATATGGTTCTCTCTACTGGCGGGAGAAATCCCCCGAAACATTGGCACTAGAGACGCGTAAGTAATGACTGACGTCGCTACCACAAACCAAGCAATTCCACCGTTGCCGATTTGCGTCAGAATTCCGTCACCAGTCCTTAGCTCGGCACCGAGTGCAGCCACGAATCCTAACATCGCCAATCGTCCGTTGATGATCTCAGGTGCAGGTCCGCTGAAGGAAAACACATCCTCGAAGCTGGTGCTCACCTGCTCGGAGGATGCGAATGCCAATCGATGAGATGATTAGACCTGAAAATCTGTGACCTCAAAATTACTCCCCTAAGTACCTCAACACTTCGTACTCTCCCTACCTTTTTCAACCGGATCGAATCTGTTAAGCACAAGAGGAGACCGGAGGATGATCGAACCACGCGGCGGAGAACTTCTCCGACAAGATTGGGACATTTCACGCTAGGAAAATCATACCTTCCGCTTTGGAACCGGTGTTGAGAGAGGTGGAGGTGTGGTTGATGAAGGACCGATGGGTTGGACCCCGTCTGCTGGTCTACTACTAGACTCCGAGTTCTTGTTGGGCTGCACACGAAAGACAGTTCCGAGCCTATCATGGACTCTTCGAACCCAAAGACTATCCTCTTAGCATCGTGCGGGAAAAAGCAAGAAACGACAGACGAGCCGCACATCTAACTTTTCAAGAATCTGACGTGTACATGGCCTAGGCATCAGACAGAACTCTGCCATGCAAATTGCAAAATTGTCCATGGCTACCAGCTACTAGCTACCAGTCCGGTGGCCAATACATTTACCTCCGCCATGCAACGAGCTCCAACCAAGCGATTGCTCATCGTCGGAACGCCACTTCTGCCCAATCTCGAATTGCCCACATGATACGACCCCACGCGACGAGGCTGGACCAGGGTAGCGGCCGATGCTGCTGACATTGCTGCAACTGTAGCCATCATGCGGTGTCCTCTTCTTAGATCAAACCCCACGAGTAGATCCTCCCGGAGAGCAAGTCCCCTCGTCCAAGCGGGACACAAAACCAATCACACCTTGAATTCTTGCCCAACTGAAGCTGAGGCGTCCAGCTGACAAGCATTCATCCAGACAAAGAGTCTAGGCAATGTCGTCGAAGCTACTGCATTAAAATAACGCCGATGGGTAGGAGGAGGATTGTGGGACACAATTACCAGCGGAGGTAGTGTTGATGTTTGCAATCACGCTGCGGCTAGATCGAGCGATGATTTTATACGAGAAGACGAGAAGCGCAGGTGAAGGAACTGATCTTCGGCGACCACGTAGCCGATCGGCATCGAACACGCAAATTCTACAAGAGCCCTCGTCGATCAGATCCTCCTGGACCTTCGAATGTCGACGTAATGGCAGATTCACAAGACCGTCCTCCGCTCGCACGTCCGCCCCCCGTTGTGTCGCCCGCTGTCGGTGCGCGCCGTCGCCTTGAGTCCGGGACGGCCTGTTTCATTAGCGTTTCATTAAGTGCTCGTGCACATGTCATTAGATATTAAAATATTTAAGGATTAATATTATTATGCTTCCAATACATGTATGCTCCGTCCGGGTTCTTATAATCGAGCGCTTTATCAATAAACCCAAGCTAATATCCAAAATTTTTAATTACAATGTTGTTCCAATAGTTGAAGAGTATACATAATTTATCATATATAAAACTCGTTAGTCAATTGTGATATCATTTTGCTATTAAGAGATTTATTATATTAATAATCACATGTAAATATATAAAATTTCAAAACATGATATTTACTAAAAAAAACTCAATATATATATTTCAATTTTTAGACATGGCTAGTTATAATAGTTTAATTATAATTATATTATGTATTTATTGAAGTCACATGTTTTGAAGTGAAGAATACAAAGAATGTTTGAATCTCCAATCCTTCTATATCAAAAAAAAATAAAAAATTAAAAGATAGGATGGAATGAGTTTCATGCGTATTAAGATAATCATACAAGACATATTTGTAAAATCATTTACTTATGATAATTCAGATTAATATTATATAACACATTTATTTCTAAAATTATGTTTTATTGCAGAAATGATGAATGAAATGATGTCCTAACTTTTTAACTCTAGACTCAAAGGATATGTTTGTTAAGTTACTTTGCTGTGATGTTATGATGAACATTTTGTATGCCATGATAATAAATTTCATTGTCATGTCAAAGAAAAAAATGTCATAATTAAATCTTTAAAAGATGAGATCATTTTGATATAGATTTGTTGATTCAATCATTTTTGGAAATCTCTTAATTTAACGTGTTTTTTATCAAGAAAAGAATATGTAATATGTAAAAATCAGATTTATAATTTTTGAATTCAAATAAAAATGATAAAATATTTAAAATATATACCAATATTTATTATTTAATATAAAATAATATAACAGTTTATGCATAGTACAATTTTATATTAGATCTATAAAAATATTCATAACATTGTCAGCTAAACGCCAAAATCGGTAGTATCACCCGATAATACTACTGCAGAACTGGGAGACTAGCGGTTAGTCTCCCTCTACTGCAGTTCCGCCACTGGTCTACCTAGATGCCTTTGCTGTTCTATATTGGCTAAAACTGTATTACTAGCCACAAAGTATGGCGAAGCCAGTAAGCCGTAAGTGTTGTTTATAAACAATTTAAAGATATTCTAAAGTGCTTTTGCATGATAGCACTCCAACGCGTTGACGTTTCTTTGAGTATTTTTAAATTTTAAATAAAAATTAATTTTTTACCAACTCAATATATTTCGGGCTAAAATTTTTAAATCGTAAAATTAAAGCTATGAACTTTCAAATTTAATTTTTTTATCTACCAAAATTTTTGGAAAAATCACAAAAATCAAGAAATTATCCAAAAAATTGATATGTATTAAAATTTCATATAGTTAGTTAGACTTAGGTTTATTTAAAACTTAGATTTATATAGGTATTGAATAATTTTTTTAATTTATGTAATACACAGGTCCATCGTTCAATACATATATCTATATATATTAGTTCATGTATTTGACACCTTATTAGAATTTAAAAAAATATTTTTTTTGGGGGCATACATTCCTAATGTGATATTTAATTTTGTATTTAAATTTAGATTATATAGATTATCATTATAAACATCATTTTTTTAAAATATTATGCACTTCAATTTAAATCCAATTCACATGGTAAGTAAAAATAATTAATTCAAAATTCGCTAATTTATTTCAGATTTCAATCGAACCGTTAAAATAAAATTCAATAATACTATGTGACTACAAGATTATCCCAAGTAGTTTTGACTATTTTCAATATTATTATATTATGATATTTTAATAAATTTGTGTAGATCATGTTACTTGTAACTGCTATTCAATGAACAAATTATTTTACTTGCTAGTAACATGCTATTGAAATATTCAATATGTTACATATAAATATTTGATGTGATTTTTATACAGTTAAATCTGACATTTTGATATCAACTCATGAAAGGATTTGATGTCAAAAATTTTGAATTGCTTCTCATATCGGTATTTATATATCTCACTAATGACTTTCTTTGACTGTACGTCTGGTTACATCTTTTTCTTTCCAAAATATCTAACTCAAGAATGAATCAATTTATTGTTTCTCTAGTTCCACGATGAGATTCCGAAAGTCAACTTAACTTGTTCAACGTGCGTTCTGATGTTGGACATATCATGAAAAAGTGATAAGAGTTAGTAATATGTGAATCAGTAGGCTAATTGGAGAGCTTGACTTGGTGTGTTTATTGTAACAGAATCGGAAGAGTAAATAGGTTTGAGATAGGTCGCTTGGTTTGGAGCAATAGTCATGACACTATCATAATCTTGTCGATACAGATCGTTGGTGGAAGTTTTGTGACGTCGGATGTCAACCTTGTTGAAAACATGTGGGATTATAAACGCATACACATGTATGTTGTCGTTCAATAGAAAACTGACAAGATAATGTAATATGCAGTCATATTGTGTGACGGATCTTTCATTTACAATTTACAGTTTTACTTTTCTAGTTCGACTTTCTACATAATGGTTGCAATACGTAAGTTTTCTGTTAGTGTACATTTAACATTAAATTGAAGGGATAATAAAATATTCATACATGCATGCGACCGTGTTCTTTAAAAATTCTTTTTCTTAAAAAGTATTTTGAGTTTTGTTTTGAGTCAGAATGGTCATTCTATAACCATTTTATTTTATTGGTATGTGCATTGAAGTGCAAAGGTGAATAAAAGGGAGAGTATGATAGCCGATAATACATGCAGTAATTTGTTTGGCATTAGTGTAGCCCAAGAGCTAGAGTGCAGCAAGATAAGAGAAATCATGATGTTAAAGGTCAAGTGATGAATAGATCGATTCTTGGGGACGATGTATACACAAATTCAAAGCAAGGAGTTCGAGAATTATAAGAAATCAGTTCAATTTGAAAAATTTAGATAACCGAGAAGAAGAAGAAGAAGAAAAATGTTGAGCACTCACACTAAGTATATGTATGCCCCTAAAGCAAGGGATTTCGTAACATAATAAAATCAATCCAGACGACAGCAGATTGAATCACAAGACACTAAATAATCGACAGAACTTGCAGAGTCCATCATTGGGAGAAAAAATAATTGGCCACTATTCGAACAGATCATTGATCCGAACACCACAGATTCACTACGAGAGGGCGGAGAAATCAGTGAAGCACAAACAATGGGAGCCACAAACGCAAATCAACGATATCCCATAGAAAACCACCAAATCACCAAATGGAATAGCAAATCTTAAAAGCTTGGATGAAACTTAGAGATGACAATCAAAGGGACGATAAATAAGAATGTCATTAGTGGTCACATAGCCATAGATACTTACAACAGAAGCATCAGAAGAAGAAGAAGAAAGCAAGAATGCTTTGTTGTTCTTCTTCTGTTGCTTTCTTGTACAGCTAGAAGATCATAATTTTCAACGGTGATTCCTGGAGTCAAATTGAACAGAGCCACCGACGAAGGTTGCACAATACGAAAGTCCGTGCCTATTTGGAATGGGAACAGACTAGAAGCATCGCACGAATGGGCGTTAACTAGACGCAAAGAGGATTCAGGTTGTCAAGGTCGGCAAATTTAGAACTTGGGCAGTCAATTTTAAGGCGTGAAAAGTTTGGCAGTTTTTCTTTTCTCGCCGGGTTTGGATCTTTAGGATGCATCCGCTTTACATGAAGTAGCTATGAACCGGCCACTTTTATTTGGTATGAAGGAAGTAGAAGATCGATGTATCCATTCACAGGCCCTCCAAAAGTGATAAATCTTTATAAATAATTATTTAACATTTCAACGCACTTCCAATTTTAATCAGGAATTTCAAGGAAGACAGGAACGAAGTATTGCCATATTTACTTTACGGTTGAATTGAGCAGGGCCGTAACATATTTTGAGGATGAACGAGAACAATTTAATTAAAACTCAAACATGGAAGCTTTGTATGTGTAACAGCAGATATCTTTGTAGAGATTTGTATTTGCTTTCCAAAAGTGAGGGCAAATATTTTTTTTCCCTTGTGCAAGATACGAAGATTTTGTCACCAAGATTTTGGTAGTGACCAAAATGTCACGGAGAATACTTGCCACCCATATCTTGCCACACTGTGTCTCCCGTTAGGCTGACAACATGTACCTTGATGTAAGGTCATGGGTGAGTTTGGATATCATCATACATCAGACGCGTAGCATCATGCAGTGCCCCTGGATATTCCATACAACTACTCTCGACTGCAACATTCTTCGATGTGACAGAAACTAATGAGAGATCGTACTGCAAACGTGGTGTCCAGTCCATCACACGTCCGATGATCGGAACAGCCGATGATGGATTTAGGTCAAGAGATACTGCGAATGTGAGGAGAAGTAAGTGGGTTCAGATATTTCGAAGTCGTGAAGGAAGGCATCATCGGCCGAGCTGTAATGATAGTTGACGAAGATCGAAGAGTTTGCGATGCAGAAGTTGGCCAATGTAGGGAGGAGCTCTGGCCTCGTCGATGCCGGGCCGGAACAGGACTCGGTTCACATTTAGTGCATGAGTCAATCATTTCCCGGAAGGAGGGCAGTTGCTCTGCGTTAGAGATCTGGGTGGTGGCTGAGCCTCCTGCGCCTTTCGTAGAGAAACCCGCACAAGCTCGTGCCTGTTGCGTGTGCAACGGAGGCAGCTGCGCGGTGCTGGTCAGCATGGAACATGGGCGAGTGTGTTCGTTCATGATCTGCAGCCTTTCGGAGATTATGACCAGTAACTGTGATTAAAAATGCCCACGTTTTTTTAAGTGTCGAATCAGGAATATGTCGATTTTAGCATGTTTTTGTCCTTTTCCCTCCGCCTTTCTCACTTGTTGCTCGACTTTTTAACAATACCGTTTTGTAGTGGTTTTAAAAATTTGAGATAGACATATATTTTGTGCCATTTGATTGGAAATTATAATGTTCATATTAATTAGGACAAAGTTATCTAAATTGCATTCCCTCATGTCGTATGTGTTTGCTATTGGTGTTGGTTAAAATGACATGTTCAAGTGATATTATATTATTTCTCATTGTTTTAACTTTGCTTTGCTAATTTGTTTGAGAGAATTAGCTTAGAGTATTTAACGAGTCCAAATTAATGTACTTTTATAATTAGTTCATAGTAGAGAATTATCCGTTATTTTCATACAGCATGTACTAAAGAACAGTGTATGACAATACGCGGAAAGAAGGTGAATATATAATATCTTCACGCTCACATAGATAGACTACTACAATTAACAATTAAGAGTTTGATATTGTAAGATATTAGCAATTGAAAATTTTGGCTTTACTACATTTGACAAACTGCTGAAATGAGCAGACAACTTCATCCACTCAGAATTTTCGCCGTTGAAAATGCCATCAAATGTCTCGTTTTTATTGAAGAAGGTTCCACGCAGATAAAATTTCGTATTATGGGGAAAAATTCCTGTATCTTACACAGTACAAAATGTATATTACAAGCTAATGATATGATTTAGTACTGCAAAAGCTATTTTATCCTCTACATTTTGGGGCTTGATCTAGTCTGTGCTACCTAACTAAAGAGCAATTCCAAAATCGAGGGAATTCCTATCTCGGAGAGCCCTTACACAAGAGGACTGCCGTTCACAAACTCGGTGATGGCAAGTGCTACCAGGCCAACCATTGCTAATCGTCCGTTCACTTTCTCGGCTTGAGACGACCAGAAGCTCTTGGACTTACTTTCGGCGGTCACGCCTTGGAACATGGGAATCAGGGAGGCGGCAGTGAATAGAACTGCCACGAAAGCGCCCAAACCAAGTCCGCCATTCTGGAGTTGGTCAGTGAAACTGATGCCAGTTCCCAGTTCTACTGCCAACGCGCCGACGAATCCCAACATCGCAAGCCTTCCGTTGATCAGTTCAGGTGCAGGTCCAGAAAACGCGAAAATGTCTTCGAACTTGGTGCTCACCTGCTAAGTACATACACAATTTGCACATGTCAGGTCACACGACCCTTGTCTATTAAAGAGTACACTATTTCAGATCAGAAATTCAATTCCACAGCAACAACGGAGAAAATATAATGATCTGAGGTGTGAATTATTGTACCTTGGGCTTGGAAGTCACATTGGGCTTGCTGGCGATAGGGGTTACAGTTGATGCAGCTGGAGTAGGCGAAGATGCTGAAGGAGATGCAGGGGGAGTAACTGAGGCGGGTGCGTCAGGTGCTTTCTCGGGCTGTAACAACATTCAGTTTCCAGTGTGTAAGTCTCATGCGAATTATCTTTCGTACATAGGGCAGGCAAAAACATCAGCAGAACATACATCTTCCACACTGTTCATGGTACCCTTGAGAGGTGGTAAACAAACACGTACTTCAAATTGGATGGACTTAGTTAAGACGAGAACGAACTTACTTCTGCCATACACCTGATTTGAACGAATCTCCTGGTGCTGAGAGCAGGGCATCGAGAAGCGGTGGACAAGGCGAAGGAAGCAGGCCTCATGCGGAGCGCGTGCGACGTGCCGGTAGAAGCCATCATTGCAGCGACGGCGGCCATTTCGGTTTACTTGCAGTTTTTTAAAATCTGCACAATATCATCAAATTTCTATCAGTCTACAGTGCGGCCGACACGTTCACCGCGGCATCATCATCCCCGCGAGAAGAATACTATTAATACTCGGAAGGTCAGCCTGGTAACGCAGGCCGTCAAATCGCAGCATCTCTGTGAAGGCCAATCTTGGTCTCATAATCGAGGCCTACTGCAAAACTCCAAAACTATATCACAACCCTTTACCGCTGCGTCGCTCTCGACATCACACAGACACATTCAAGAAAACTGGATATTGCGAGCGACGAAGACTCCTCTCCGAATTGGACACTGCAATCCTGAGCGCGTAGAACTTCACAACCCGGAAATGATCTGCGAGAGGGCGACGACGAGGCTTACCGAAACACAAGCGCGACGAGGGGGAGAGGAAGAGATTTCTCAGATTGTCGAATGAAGACAGTAGGCAAGAAACGGCAGAGAGTGCGTAATGAATGCTCTCTCCGTTGTCTCTGTAGACATTTTATATTCGACGTCGGAGGGAGGGAGGGGTTGGTCCCGGAGAATCGCACATACGAGAAGAAAGGAAGCGAACGTAGGGCGGGGACGCAGCCACGCCTCGTACATGGCGAAGGACGTGCACTGGGACGCGCCTGATTCATGAGAGAGGCGCAGGACAGCGCCCGTCATCATTGGGTCCGACCACTCCAGTCCTCCCGAATTCTCTAGACTCTGAACGTCTCTGAACGTTCGTTCTCTTCATGCACACGTCATATTTCCATATTTTCATCTGCCCTGGTGGGCAATGATAATCTTTTACTTTTTACACACATTTTTTATCTACTCTAACTTCCAGAAGCTTTATAACCCCTATATACACACACAAATATTTACATATATTTGTGTGTGTATTTCGGTTCAAAAATTATGTATTAATCCCTATACCTCATATATGATAGTAATCAGAGAAATTGCTGAAGTTTTCCTTTAAATGATTGGAATGGTTCTTTTCTACCTCCAAAATATGGATACTGTTTTCTCTATTCCGATATTTTTACCTTTTCTTTTCCTTTATAAACTAAAAGGAAAAGTTTGAAATTATAACTGAACATAGTGAGATTTTTAGGTTAAGTTCATTGTTGAAGTTCAAATGAGGTGGATTTTTGTGAGTTTACAGCTTTACACGTTAATGAAAATTTAGTTTATTTATTATTATCTTGATAGAACTTATAAATCTATGTTGTTTTTTGAATAGATATAGGGCGTGTAATACATCATTCGTTGTCTCGTTATATATTTATCTTGCCATATGTAATGACTTTGTGAAAAACACTCACCAATATTATGAGTAATTTAGTTAAAACGTGTTTGATGTACTTGAAGATTATGATCAAGAGGATTCAAGATCTAAATTGAGCTTGACAGTTCACATGCTAATGTATAGCAGTTCTTTGATAAAAGAGAGACAAGATAAATACATGCTAATGTATAAAGCTTTTTTGTGTATTAGGAGACAAGAATATTTAAGTTTTATCAACTTTATCTCTTGTAAAAATTGTAAAAAAAGCCTGATGAAAAGCTACATGATTTTGTAATTAAATGGATATACATTTTATTTGAACCCTATACATGTTATTTGGAAGAGTTGTGATCATTGATGTGCAATATTTAAACTAGTTCAAAAAATTGTTTTTACTTTTTTGAAAGATTTTATTGTTAAGTTGATGAAGAAGGTAACAAAATTAAAGTGATGTGAAGAATGTACATCTGTTTGTGATAAAATGTATATTTCAAAATCCTAGAAAGAAAATATTCTCTTATCAAACAGTGAAAACTATTAAAAGATTACTTTTTAGTTTTATTCATATGAATTTTACTTTAATTACTTAACATTTTGAAAAAAAAATTATCTGAGCTTGTTACTTTAAATTATTTTACTTTCAAGCTTGCAAACTGCGATGATACTTTTTAACCTAATCATAATTTCTTCAGATTGTTGGATTGTAATATTACCATTAAATGAAGGTGAAAATTCTAATCACATTGACTAACATCGAAGTCAAAATGTTGGTTGACTGCTGTAGAACAGCAATGATGAGAAGTGCAGCATGTGATGACTACGAGTTTGAGTAGAGCTTGCTTTAACACAAATTTTTTATTTGAGACTTGTGAAGAGATGGATATAAATATAATTAAAAACTTTGCTCTAAAAATACATCAATGAGGTGATATATCCAGTAATATACTTTCTTAAAAGTTTCAAGTTGAACAAAAAAAAACTTTTAAAATCTAATCAAAGGATTTAAATAAGAAACAAATCTTCTAGATATTCAAGATTTACAAATAAGATCAAAATAATATAAAATCAAAGATTAAAAAATTTTAAAACATAAAAAATGAAAAATGTCAAAAATCTGAAATAAATGAAATTTTTTATTTCATAATTAAATTGAAATAAGAATCTGATATAAAAACTATAAAAGAATCAACTAACCAACAAAAAATTGCATTTTTTTACAAAAAGGTTTCTAGAAGACAAATAAACAGAGAAAAAATATAATCAAATAATAAAGGATCTCCAAAAAAACAGAGGTAATCAAAACAACTAAAGTGCTATCAGACATAATAAATTGAACCTAATAAAAATGATGATAAGAAAAATATACTAAAAAATGACTCATCATTCAAAAATTTAATAATAACTAGATATATTTTGCGATTGTTCAGATAGAAGGTGAAAAGGAGAAGTTTTAGTTTTCAGTTTGTCGACGAGGAAAAAAACCATAAGTTTGTTAACAAGAAAACCAAATTAATAAAAAAAAGTTGTAACTCAAATCAAATAAAGCAATAGGTTTTTGATTTTTGCTATTGATGAAAAATGTATCAAGGTATTTACTAGTTGTCATATCAGATTTTAGTTTTCTTTACCCTAATGAGTTAGTTTAGTTAGAGTATCACTATATTAGATAGCTGAGGAAAGCTATATGGGATACAATTATGTTTGTTTTAGCATAAGACTATTCTGTTTCCATGGACATAGTCCAACAAGACAAATCATGTATCTTGTCTATCGGATATTATATTGCTGTGTTGATTTTTTATATATGACCAACTATATTTAATATCAAGTCAAATTGCTCTTTTATTCATTTGTTGCAATTGTAATCTTGAGAAGACAAAGAGAAAAACACAAAGAAGGTGGTGATCCTTGTAGTCAGCGGATATTATTGTCTGATTGAAAGTAGACAACTTCAAATATCATCATAAAATTTAAGGTGTTAGTGTGTCATTGTGAAATGAAACCTTAAAACCGCAAGATTTGTTACATGTGCATGTTTAGACTCAAGTCTTATTTATAAAAAAAATTCTTTCAAAGTCGTAAGAAGGGATGCATTTGCAACCGAAAAAAAGCAGAAGTCGCATTTATTTTTAACATTGATCGCTAACTATCAATATATGATGTCAAACAAATGGATGAATTATATTGTTCTACAACGGGTGCAATAACAAACTCATTGATAATGAAAAAATGTCAATTGAAATAAAAATTTAATTATGAAAATTTTCCACTTAAAAAAACTGCTTCATTTGCAATAAGATCTGAACACTACAAACTAAAAAATCATAATTATAATTAATCTCAACATCATGAGAATAAATTTTCAATTATGCTGATATAAAATGACTAAGTGCATAAATTTTTTTATGTGGATTGAATCTAGCATTATATTGCATAACACATGGAGATTAGATCTTCACAATATCCATATCATGCATTTTTTGGGTCCATATTAAACGTTGAGACTCTCTCAATTGCACATGAAAACTCCATTGTGTGTGTGTGTGTATATATATATATATATATATATTTATATATCAATCACTAGTTAACATTTTACTATCAAATTTTTTTAACGAAATAATATAAAGTATTCTATAATGATAATATAATATTTATACATGATTATAATATTTGAAGTTAATATTTATTTCAAGTAAATTAGACAGTTTGAAAAATTTAATACAGAACTATATATTATACAATAGATTTGAACTTCATTTTTTGATATACCCAAAATTCATACATGATTTTTAAGATTTGCAATAGTCACATATATCACTTTTGTAAAATAATATTTATATTTCAAAAAAATCTATGAATGTCAAATTATAAACTAGACATACTTTATTGTGATTTATTAGTTTTTAAATTGTTAATAAATCTACGTAGATTCCAATATATTATAATGCGTAATCAATATTAATCTAGTCAGTACAAAAAATATTACATATCTAATTGCATATCATTTTTTATTAATCTATCTTGAAAAAATCATTTAATCGAACAAAAATTTGAACAGATTATATTTGTATCATGTAAATTAAAATTATGTACAAATATTCTAAAATGATACTTGTACATGATTACATCAAATTCAAAAACAATTGTTCTTTTTAAGATGAATAATATATGCAATTCACAATGTGATTTACGACTATGATATTAATTTTTGTAGAAGCAAATGCTTGTGATGCAAAAATGATCTCAAACAATTTAAATTTAATTTTGAAAAAAAAAACATAGCTGCCAAAACTTATCAAATGAATAAATTATTGAGGTTGTATAAGTAGTTTTATATATACTTTCCTTTCTGGTAAAAAAAAGCACAAATATTTAGAAAGTTTTAGACAAAAGCATGATGAAATATGATGTAATGATAATTTCAAAAATTGTATAAATAATTCATCAAATGACTTCAAACGAAATTTAAAAATAAAGAAAAAATTCTACAACTTTTTGAGTTGTATGGACAAGCAAAATATGTCAAACACAACATGTAGATTTTTAACAAAGAAAAATCATGTTCATCTTAAACCTGCAATACATCAAATTTTGAACATGTTTTTTTTAATTAACAAAAGTAAAGTATTTAACATGAAATTAAATTCTCCAAATCAAATCACACCTAAAGCTATGTAAACTATTTATAGATGTCATATAAACTTCAATAATGTATTTTAAATAATTGAGATTAAAATTAAAGATTTTTTTTATAATATGTTGCCTTGGTTTTGAAAATAAAACATGAAAATCATATCCATCAAATAAATATATCTTTAACATGAGTTTTATGAGCTGAAGAGTGCAACATGGAATATCAAAAAAATATTTAAGCCATTTGCATGAGAAGAAATTTTCCTGATTAGTGGAAAAGATTGAGCTATTCTCAAAAAATATTTTTGTGTACTGCAGTCTATTAGTTTTATTAGAATGACGTACCATAAATCAAATATATTTATTAAGAAGTCGCAAAATGAATAAATTTGATCTCAAAACGTTAACTGCTTCATACTTTAAAGATAGATACAAGTAAAATTTTGTCAATGAAAATCAATCTAATCTCTTTTCTATGTTTTATATTGCAAAAAAGTAAAGCAGAAGATAAACCTATCATTTTATTAGTTTAATAGTCTATATATGCTTTCAGAAATGATAAATTTCTTTGAGATTTGTTGGTATGTGCATAAATATTATTATGTGAATAATATGAATATTGAATATGTTCGAATATCATGTTTGATAGTCAATATGATGTTAAATGTGGAACAATACATATAAGATTTCAAAATTTTAATTGATTCTTTCACTAACATTGCAATTATTCTAATGAAATTTCTTATTCGATAGGTCTAAGCAGGGAAGGTAATTAACTTGGAATGTATGGGTTGGATTGATAGAAAAAAATATGCGAAGAATGTATACTATCT